ACACAGACGAGCTTCAAAGAAACATGTCACACAAAGGCAGCTTCAAATAATCAAAATACAGAGGATCTTTTTGAAAAAAAAAAAAAAAGACCAGGTTTACATAAACCTGACATACACATAGGAGGTACTTTTAAACAGAACATATACAGTATGGTTTCACAAAAACACAGTAGACACATACGAGTTTATATAAACACAACAGAAATAGTGTGTGCAGAGAGTCCAGCTTCACGTAAACACCAGATACAGACGGGCTTTGTGGCAGCTGATATAAAGTGTAACTGCTTACATCTGTTCGTCATGCAATATATAACCGCCCACGTCAGCTTTTATATAATGTTTCTTACATAAAGTGTACAAGTCAAAAGTAAAGGGACCCCTTTCCTCACCTTCAGGCATGTTGGGCACATAGGGCTAGACCTTAAGTTTTAGACCAATTGGCACTCAGTGGGTGATTCGGCCCTCGGTTTGTGATGTGATCAAAATCACGCCGGCCGCCTTTACTCCCCATGACTTCACCTGGTAAAATACCAAAATCTGGGTTTTTGTTTTTGTTTTGGCGCTACTCAGCTGTTCGCAGTTCCGGCACCTTTTTAAAGATTTTTTTTTTCAACCCTACCGTAATAGACACTGTGTGTGGTCTTGCACTGCATTGCAGTTTTTGTCTTCTCCAAGGAGTGCAGTGCTCGGGATTAACACCTCCAGGATGTGAATGCTACATGTACAAATCCTGGTAAGCCCCGTTCAACCGTGAGGTCACACAGGGACCGCAGATGGTTATGACGTAATTTGAAGCCCGGTACATTTTACAGACACTGTGTGGTGAGTCCAGGAAAAGCCTTAAGTTTTGGATACACCGTGTAACTGCTTGTATGTGTCGGAACCTGCAGGCTCAGACCTCACCCCCACCCCTGCACCCAACCATCCACTCAAATGTGTAGTTGAGCTCAGCCCCCCCCCCCCCTCCCCAATAATTTGTAAGAGGCCCCTTTTTTAACAGAATATTTAGGGGGGGGGGGTGTAAAGTACGTCCTTTCACATTTTATATTATTTTAAATATATTATGATATATATTTGCCATTCAGCACTTTACTAACAACAACAACAATGAAGCTGAATGGCAAATACATATCATAGTATTACTGAAGTAATTTGCAACTCATAAACAAATAGTTTTAAAGTATTTTATTTTAACTGCGGGCTTCTTAGCCCCCCCCCCCTCCCCTCCCCCTCCCCTCCCCTTCCCTTCCTTAAACAAAATTACTGTATGGTTGGGGGGAAAGGGGGTGGGGTGGTGCTCAGCCCCAGGTAATTTTTATTGTGTCGGGCTACCCAAATATATTCGGTGTGATGCTGACCATATCACCCACCAAGTGCCGATTGGTCTGTAAAATATAGGTCTAGCCCTGTATGACCAACAAGCCTAAAGTCGTGGGGAAAACGGGTCCTTTATTTACTTTACTTACCCAATGATATGCCACCCCCACCCCCCACCCCGGCACCCTTTTTGTATGCACCTAGAATGTGTGAGCAGGGCGTGGTTACAAGGGCGACGAGCGTGTGGCTGGGGGAGGGGCGCTGAGTATGTAAGGAGAAGCGGGCCTTGAAAATGTGTAAGGGATAACGGGTGCGTAGTGGGAGGGGCTGTACCGCTCTCTCCCCCAATGCCCCAATGTTTATTCGTAGCGGTGCACCTGTGAATATCCTTTCATTATGGAATAATTCAGTTTCTCTAAAGACATTATTATATTGCGCTACAGAGAGATACTGGAATAGTTGCAATGGCTAAAGTAGCTACCTATATAAGTTCTTAAGACAACGTGTAATTGCCTTTACCAGTTCTGAAGACAACCTGTAATTGCCTCTGCCAGTTCTGAAGACAAAGTGTAATTAATTGCCTTTACCAGTCCTGAAGACAACATGTAATTGCCTATATCAGTTCCTAACAAAAGGTAGAAGTGCCTATATCAAATATTAATACAACATGTAACTGCTTTATAGTAGTTCCTAACATGACATTATACCTACAATTGTCTACCCCAAAACGGTTTTATCACCCTCGTTACTGCATATGCACCCACTCTAAAGTCAAGGAGGGTGCAACGGATTCTTTTTATGAGGAACTGGATAATGCAGTGAAAGCAATTCCTAAATCTGACCGCATCTACATACTTGGTAATTTTATTGCTAGCGTGGGGTCGGACTCAAACTCATGGCGTCACAGCACCCTAACCTTAGAAAATACAATGTTGGTCGCGTGAATAAAAATGGACAAAGGCGATTGGAATTCTGCACTAGAAGTTACCTGTGCATCGCAAACTCCTTTTTCAAAACTAACGACAGCCATAGGGTGTCACGGAAACAAGGAGGCAGCACTTGAACTATGCATCACTAACTCGCAGCTACTACAGTGCTGACTGTGCTACTGACCATTCCATAGTTGCTACAAAAGTTAGGATAAAACAGACAATAATTTTCACTTCAAAAAAATAAATATATCCCCAGGTAAAATATTTCCAAAACTGAAGACCCTTAAAAGTGTTGTGTTTTTCAAACGTTTCTTAGTCACTGAGCCTTTTTTTTCGATTACAATTTTTTCCACGGCG